AAACTTTGAGCGCTCCGGAAAACCTCACTTAAGCCCACCCCGGACGGGGGCAATCTTACAACAATATTAATTGTTAGAAGGAATCTTGGCTGGCAAACCGACGGGGGTGACAGAAATTAATTAATGTCCTACGCTTTTGCCTTTTGCCCGACCGTGTGCAGAACATGTGCCGGATATAATATTGTAATATATATATATATATATATGTAGTATAATATGTATTATATTATATCATAAATTGCACGCCAATCACATTTCCAACTCAGACAAAATCGCGACAACGGGCGTCGTTCGTTAACACCGCCATGGCACAATATTGTTGTAATTTAATATGTATTTTTCTCCTTTGCAAACGACGACGACTTGTTTGCACGTTCCACGTCTAAACCGTGTAATCCATACACGCTTGCGGCGTCTTAGGTGGGCCATAATATAGCCCCACGTGCACATATTTATGCACTATCTTATCTACCTATATGCTTACAATCAATACATCGAGCCCCATTATGTACCGCCAAGTAATGCACGAATATATTATGTTGTATATAATATCAACTCGTTTATGACGATTCAATTTTTTCACCTAAACCAACGAAAAAGTGTAACATTCAATTTTTTGTTACATTAGGTCTTTTTAATTTATTAAAAAAAAAACAATCGAATGGTACAAAAACAGCTGATCTTTATATTTAGATAAAATTACAATAATAGAATAATGCAAACACCTAGCAAAAAGCATATTATAACTCATGAGGAGGTCTCGTTGGACATTGAACATCTTCAATTAATTTAAGAATGACTATTCGTTTTCTCGGTTTCCCTATGTTTTTTAGAAGAGTAATTTTTTAATAATAAGTATAGTGTTTTGCTACCGACAAAACGAGAAACGGTCACCTTTAAGCATGAATTGTCCTAGAATTTTTGAATTTTTCAAAAAAATTCATTTTGGCTCTCTCATAAAATTCACAAAGCATCTATTGTCATAAAGGATCTTTGTGAGCGCAATTATGAAACGCCAATGTTTTTAATATTATTGTAAAAATAATAAAAAAAACTTTAAAAATGACATTTTTTTCAAATAGAAATAATCAATTAACTGGAAATGATTTTTAAATGTTGTCACGGTGCCTTGTAAATGGTATAAAGAATTTAAATGTTTTATTTTTCGAAATTAAATCGGAACATTCTTAGGCGCTGTTAGAAGTAATAACATATATGTTCATGTACAAATATACTAGATACCTATATGCGCTGAAAAAAAAATATCAAATTTGATACCTTTTTCTGTGTTATTTTATGAGTTTACAAATTTGGCGTAATGTTTAGTTTTATCATTGATTTTAGAATAAAATCAATGGTTTTATTGAAAAATTGCCTATACAATGCGCCTTAATAAATACTAGTGTAGGGGCTCCTTAATAGTGTGCGTTTTTAAAAAGCTTTAAAATCAATTTTCAACAACATTAAGTTCGCCCCTTACAGCGTAAACTTTTCGAAAAGTTAATATACAATTTTCTAAGGAACTTAAAAGTTTCAGTATAAAATTGTACATCACTGTATCGGTAGTCAATTTTACAATTTTTTAACGGCTATTAACTTTGATTTTTGGTAATTATTTTCCGTGTACAATTCCCGAGACTATAACACTGGATTTTAAAGAACCATTAGTTATGGCCATGACGTGATGGGAGTGAAAAAAGGGGGAGACGCACACATACCCACACACGTACACAAAGTAAGACAGCAACAACGCCGGCTCCTATTAAATTAGATTCTTTTGCGTGAATCCTTTATACCTGTGTGTAAGACACGTGGTCTTATGGTATACGACTGTAAAGTATTTTGTGAAATAGAAATGCCGTGCTTTCTTCAGTGGCAGCCACTCGAACGCGGCGCATCTTCAATTAACAGCGGCAAAACAAAACGTAATAATGCACTTTACTCGAGACCACTTATAAGTCGTATATATTCTTAAATCAAAACTAACAAGACGCTCGTACAAAAGAAAACAATATTGTATACTCTCAGCCACAACAGCTACACATGAACCTATATAAATTACATTATACTTATTCGTCTAACTCACGGTCGACTTTGGACGAAGATTAGTGTTCATAAATTAGAAAACCGTCCGATTTTGAAATAATATTTTCTTTTTCTTTCAAAACGTTTTTACAAATAAACGAAACCCACCCTTCAGGCATCAATGTCTGAAATTGCTAACGTTACAAACTACTATAATTTAACAATTAGTTTTAACTACACCATCATTATGGAAAACAAAATAATAATTAAATGTTTTAAAGTTTAAACTGATTACGGGTAAATATTTGAAGTATTTTTAGCTTTATACTATTCTGCTGCCTGAGATCAAGTTAATCACTCTGTTATAATATTTTGACCAACAAAGCGATCACGATTGCACGAACACAATAATAATATGTTGACTCTAATTTTTTAAAGCCTAATGCTCAGACATTAAACATATCAGAAAAACGCTTAAAGAGAAAATCTATTATAAAAAGATGCTAGCTAGCACAATGGGATCAAAGTGGCTCGACTAGAAGTACTAATTAATTATAACATTATTCCTAAAGAAACTGGTTTGCCACGTATCTGTACAATATACTGAATGAGTTAAAACACTGCTACTTCCTATCTTCAAGTTATACTACTTAATATAATATAATAATTATAAAAAATCCGCATTCTGTTTTGTGTACACAACTTAATATAATTAGTATTAAACCCAACTTTGATATTGATACATTTTTTTTTAGAACCATTTGTTTTTGTACTTAGAACTAATTAAGGTGTGTGATGTTCAAATTACTTGTCTTCAATAAATATAAAAACACAGTATGACTTTTACTGTGGTTTTTGGCAAGGATTTGTTGGATAACATTAAATTTAAATAAAATAAATTGTGTTTCTTAAATATTATATAGCTTTGTTTAAATTGTCAAAAACCCCATTTGATAAGGCACAAGCAAAGGATATTTTATTCTTAAATCCACGATAGCCTAATAAAAATATTAATTACAAATACAAACTTAACAAACATAATATACTAAAAAACTTTAGTTTTTGCTTTAAATTAAAATTAAAAGTTGCCTGTCCGAAATCCGTTGTAAATAATGGCGATCGCTCTCAATTGTTTACTTATTTTATTATCGTCATTTAAAAGTTTTCAATTAAAAATATAAAAATGTAATAAAAAAGTTTACTTTTTAAACAATTTTTATTATATTGAGATTGTTGTAACAGTGTCTTTGTTTTCTTAACGATTTCTTCCTGAAATAAAATGTTGTCTGTAACCAATCGGTCATCGGCATTACCCTCGAAAATCTGTTTTGCAGTTAATCATGGTTCGTACACATTGTCTAGTCATTTTCATTAATAAGCCACACCAACAGCTGTGCTTTGGGCCACCGTCCGTTTTGCAATAATCAGCTTGGGCATAGTGTCTCGGCTCGAAACTTTTCCACGTTCAGTTGTTAAGAAGCAAAATATTATGGTTATTCTTCTTACTATCCTCCGCGCCCTATCCTCGCGGTGGATGCGCCACGCTGAATAAGTCATCCCGTCGGAATATGCAAGTATTGAACTAATTAATAATTTCGTATAGAAAGATTTATATTGCCCAGAAGATTTTAAGTTCTACCTATTTTTGTTTTATTATTTCAGTGTGCGAGTTTTGATCAATTCAAAAATAAGGTCGGCAGAAGCGGACTATAAAATATGGATAAAGTTATCAAAAAATGGAGCCCATTCGTTTGTTTATCGGTAGTTTGCTAAATGCGTTTTGCAGGCTGAGTACAATATTTATTCTCTATAAACCTACCTGCCGAGGCGTTAACGTTTTACGCTTTACTGAAATAATAATGAAATGTCCAACATTTGGTAATCATTTCAACGGGGGGGGGGGTATAATATCCTGAACTCAACTAGGCTGTACTTTTTCCCTTCCTACCTCTTTCTCCTTAATTTTAGTTTTTATTTTTAAATGATAAGAATAGAAATTAGAGGGTACGTGCAAATGGCCCCTAAAAGTTTGAAGTGTTCCGGAGGTCCATCGATTTACAAATAAGCAACACCTTGGCCAGATTGCCTTACAGGAACAGCGCTTTCAGAGCCGTAATATTATTCGAATATACATATGTATTTAAATACTATTTTTATTCGAATAAAAATAAATGGCGAACAGTGCCAGATTATCTATAAAAACATGGGCTACAACTCTTTGGTCGACTTAAAACCGTTAACAAGATTTTATCAAAAAACGGTCGAGACCGTCCGAGTAGATTTCGACGCTTGGACTTTATTAGGCAGCGATTGGTTTGACGTTTGGGTTTTAATCAAACAACCGTGTAATATAATAAAATATGTTTAATATCACAAGATAAAACAAAAAAGCTGGCCAACCGTCGTTCCTACATTGGCTCTAACGGCTTCGGTCGTTACACAATATAACGGCCGCCGTGGCCATTGTTCGGATAAATGGTTTTGTTTGATCAAGATGTTTTTCCGTTTATCTCTTTCGGATTTCCCTAAAGCCCGTTCACTCCCGTGGGATTTATTACATTTGGCGATACGCTCAGGCACCCAGATCGGTGTTTATAATACGCCTAAGTATCGATTTAGAAGAGTTCACGTATTATGTACACGCATTGGGTATTGCTAAAATATTGTGCAAGTACTCGGGGATCAGATGTATTTTTAATCTTTTTGCGGTCCGTTTGGCATTTGTGCCGTCCCGTGATATCATGATAGTATTCGCCGGATTAGCCCCGTCGCCTTGCTTTTTTTTTTCTTCTCCCAAGACCCGTGGAACCCTTGCCGGCGGCGACGAGCCTCTTGCCCCGGCGCGAAAGGAATCCACCGCGGTCGGCCGCAACGGCAATGACATTGGCGGAGAGGCGACGAGGCAGCACCGCGCGTCTGACCGCCGCTGTATATATAAAACTGGCCTGCGCCCGCCGGTTCTCACCATTATCATATCAGTCATCCTCGGCAGAAGCCACACAACAGCAGACACGTCCAGCGACAGCAGCAACGCCACCGATCTCCATTAGCAGCATTATCAACAGTACTATTTACCGGCAAACATGCACGCTTCTCTGGTAAGTCCAGTTTGTCTGATATGTCATACCGTCTTACACAATTTCTCCTTTTCCCGGTCGACTTAGCCCATACAAAAAAAAAAAATTACATCCAACCACCAAGTATCGTGTATTAGATATTAGTGATGGGGAAAGCCACTTAAAAATCGTAGACAAGTACTAAATGTTTATAGCACGTGTATCTAAGTGAAATATTTTCGTATGGAAATGTACAAATAAAACACAACACCAAACAGATAAATCGTTTTTGGATTACGAATTAGTGTAAATCCGAAAGCAATTTATCGTCAAAGTTTAGCGTTTTTTTTTTTAATTTTTATCAAAACTTTTACTCATTTTTCAATTTAGTGAACTTGACTAAAATTTCGACGGGCTCGACGCACTAAAACTGGTTCGACAATATTAACCGATGGATATATGTTGGTTATTAAAAAATTAAAAAATAATTATACTAGTAATAAATTATTATTTTCCCCTCACGAAAATTTTACTAATATTTCATTGAATAACTATAACATTCTATACTTGTGCATTATGTTTTTGCTGGAAATCAAAATATATAAATGACATAAATGTTTCATTCATATTTTTTTTTACAAACTAATATTATATTTATAAATTATAATGTTTGTCCAACAAACCTCGAAAAAAATATTAATATTTCATAATTGCCAAATAAAAGTAATAAAGGAGAAAACGTTGTTTTTTCAAAATTAGTTTTTTATTAATAGTGGGTCGTATATTTTGTTTACGCTTTGTATCGAAACAATAAGAAACAGTTTTTAAATCTTTATAAAAAAAAAAGAAAAACAAGGACCCACACAAAAGTATTATAAATATTTAAAAACTATACATGAATTTCGTTTCAAACCCTTCTTAACTAGCCTTATTTTGTAAACTGACATAAATATAATTTAATCATATAATATGGAAAAAAGTCATTAATTATAAAAACAGCTTTCGGGATACGTTGTCTTACGGAAAAATAAAAGTTAACTGATATCCTAAAAATATATAAAGATTTGGAGACTATAAATAAAAAAAAAAAAAAGGCTGAACTATTAAGGTTAGATAGAGTATTATATCATTACAACATATAAAAATCACATACCCAAGTCTCCACACGATACATAGTGTTACATATTGCTTTTAAACCTTTGGTACGTTACATCTTTATAGCTTAAAAAATATATTGCCAATGTGTTTACCGTACAATAACACTGTACTATACACACCGCAGAGACTATAAAAAAAAAATATATATATACATTTTTTTTTTTATAAACGATACTTAGGGGGCGCGTCCAAATTCGAGCTGTCAGATATGTTTGCTGTAGCAAAATGACATAATAACAGAACAGTATTGTATTATTAAAGCATCTTCACTACCGTTTTACTCGGGTACTTGGTTTTTACGACTGGCGAAAATTGTTTTTGATCATTTTTTTTTTTGTCACACTTTTTTTAATAATTTTTGTGCTTTCGATGGCCGTTGGCCGGTTTTTCGCACTTTATATATATTTTTTATATTATAATAAAAACACACCCACAACATAGTCGTTGAATACATTTGTTGTAGTCTTAGCCATAGAAACGATATATATATATATATAAAAGGACTGCGGTCGATTTAACGGTTTAGACTTAAATGTTTCTATCGCGTTTTATGTCGTTTATATATTTTTCCTCGACACATACATTATGCGGCAGTAACGATAGCGTGCGTTTGCGCTTCTTATCGTTTAACCCAACGCCGGACCGCTAAAAGAAAATCCGTCCGAACCGAAAGGATAAAAAATGAAATAACAAACATAAAAGAATATGACATTGTATACGTTTATCGAAATGGCGAAGAAGTAGAATAATGTGTCGTTAGCGCGTTGCACTGGTCGTCTTAAAAAATATTATACAATCGTTGCCGTATACAATAGTATTTTTATATTATCGTCAATGTTATAGTTTCGAGGCAAAAAAAAAATGGTATGAAGAAATAATACAACATATTATATTACTTACTATCATCCTCCTAAAACTGTTCTGCGTTATCTTCTTTTTCTATACAGGGTGATTCTTTTATCATGAACCACTCAATATCTCATAGGGTTTAATAAGAAACATTAACATGAAAACAAGAAACAACAAAAGACATTTTTTTTTTCATGTTGTTATAAAATGTGATCTCAATTTTTCACAATCTATTTTGTTTTTAACCCCCTCCCAACTTAGTTTTTCTGATAGCAACTTTTAAAACTTAACTGGTAACGTATATATTTTATTAACTTTTTAAGTTGAAAACAATGTACTAAACATTTTGACTGGTCGATAACCAGTTTCGGATAACTATTTCTGAAAGTTCATCAAATAGCAATTACGGTTTGGTTAGCAAATACCTAGTAAACAAAAACGTATGGGTTACCATACGTTTTACTGAGAATAAGTTTTTCTAAAGTTTTTTCATAGACTATTCCGTGAATCTAACTGGCTGTTTTTAATTTTTCACAGTTCAGTTTTCTCCGCCAACACGTTAATATTCTTCAACGACTTAAATATTTTATATGACACTTTTTTTTTGGTCAATTTTATTATATTGTCGTGAACTTTAACTTGACATATTGCCATGGCAATTCAAGTGTCTGATGTGTTACTAATACATATTATGTAAACCCATTTTAATTCAAATACAAGGTTCGAGTAGTAGGAAAACATGCGTGTAAAACATGCGATAATCGGTTAACAATATTTATATAGTAAAACATAATTGTAGTAATGCATAAGATATTTTTGACTATTATTATTATTAAATAACATGTGTGTAAACGCGTCCAATGTCCATTAATAAGCGCATGCGTTTGTGTGTGCCCGCGCGTTTACTCGGAGGGTTAATCGGAACGGACCGTGACCAATCGCCTAACCCGTCATTCAAAAATCTATTATCCGTCGCACATCATCATCATAAGAATACTATAAAGGTGCTACCTATATCCTTTAGAATAATATTATTTTAGCGTCTAGTCTCACCTGTTTGTATGTGTTTTCGTGCCCAAGTCGACTCTCCGTTGCCATCAAACGCGAGTGAAGCCAATTATTATATTATTCTCTTTCTATTGTTATTACTGTATCATGGTATTGTATTGCGCGCCTTTTTAACGTTATTGACAAGTTGGCGTTTTTTGGCATATTGTACAATTTTGACTAAAATTTGTTTACTGTCTAATCTGATAAAGAATTAAAAAAAGATTTTTTTTTTTTTTTTTATTGACAAAACGTGATAAATAATCTATATTTCAACCGTAAAGAACTGCCCCCAAGACCCAAGTACAATATTTTGAGTTTCAAAACCAGCTAAAAGCAATGTGTGAACATTTCTTACAAACAACATATAATTTCTTATTTTCATTTTAAAACCAACTAAGATTTTCCCAACACAGTTTGATTTAGTTATAATCTTTATTTGATATTCGATAATAGTTTGACATACCATGTCATACAGTGTGGCCAACTTAAAAAAACACGGTTTCTGTTTTCAAAATGTCTTTTAGCTGGTTTGAAACTAGACGCCTCATTTATGAATTAAGCCACCGATATTTTTTAAATAACTTTGTGTTTCACATAGAATATTTCATTGAACACACCAGTCTGGCACCTGATATCATAATTTTTAATTTTTTTCATTTACCGACTACTTACTTACACATTCGCTATTTCACCGGATCCGTCCAAATGGAATGTGTGTTATTTATTTTACAAATAATATTATTATAGTGTACAGCTGATGGTGTATATAATAATAAAAAAATATATATATTACACATAATATAATGTGTTAGCGGCCGAGTGGAAAACCGTTTGCGCGGATCGGTCGTGGAAAGAAGTTAAAAAAAAAACCGCGTGGAGACTAAATATGTTATTTATTATTATTATGGAACGGCGAATCCCATCTACGCACAGGCCTATGACAAACCGTTTGTTGCAGCTGTATGTACCAGCTATTTATACTTGCTTGTATGAAAAATAATAATAGTAAAATACAATTTGTGTGTTCCTAAACAACCGCATCTCGTATCTAGATGGAATAACAACGCGTGGGTAATTCGCCGATTGTATACTTTTCGGGAACGCTGCTAGGGCCACCGTGGTGGAATACAAGTGTGTAGTATTGTAGGAACGTGCATATATATATATATATATATGACCCGGGATGACGGATGGCAGCTAAATAAAATAAAGTCAAAAAAAAAAAAATCGTTCATAGATGAAGAAGAACTCTGAGAGAGAGAGAGATAGGCCGGCATTGAAAATAAACCCAACGCAGAGCCGTGACAAACGTGACAATGACGATTGATCCATTGGTCACGGGCTGTTGTTCTTCAGCAATGGCCTGTGGCGACGGAAGAAAAGTTTTACTGTGTTTAAGATAATGCGAATGAACTGGCAAAAGTCTCGAAAAACGCGACTAACCCGCAGCGCGCGTACCTAATAACGATCACCACTGAAATATACAAGGCCATTGCACATACATACACCTCTTTTTCATTAAATATTCCAAGATAAAAACAAATATGTCAGCGTAACGGGAGCGAAAATCAAACGTATATGCTGCCATTTTATTCCTGAAGAAGATAACGATTCGAGACGATTTGCAATAGCTTGCATGCATTTCAACCATGCTAATAATATTATAATATCGGCCAACAGTACAGCTGTGCATAGCTGATAGAATAATATCATAATGAATGGGCGAAGGCCTCGAGGGCAATGATAGCTGAGGTTTAGTGTGTAATACTCGTGTTCGGCGGAGACTTGAACGCTGGGACGGTGTTTTCGATTTCTTCTCGAACCGGTCGGAAACAAAAATTGTATACCCTATCTTTGCGCGTTGTACTTACCTGCCTATATTATCAACTGTGTTATTGTTGAGTTATTTTTTTAGTATCACGGCCCGACCCGTCGGCATTAGGTCGACGTTGGAAAGCGACAACGAAAATACAATAAATGCGAATCACAAATACAACATTGCAACGACAACGCCCGCTGCGAAACTGTATCTCTCTGGCGCTGAAGATCAATGTCAATAATGTAGTGTAATTTGGTATTATATTGTTTTAGGCTACGGATCTTGTCTAGGTATAATCACATGCCGTACATATATCGGTCATTGTGTACGGCCAACAATATACAATATTATTATAATTACCGCGAAACTTTCACGCAAACAAAAATTTCATTATCATCTCAAAACACTTTCCACCCGAAAACCAAAAGGTCTGAAATAATAATAATAATATTACATACAATATATTATATTAGTGACTCGAATTTTCAAATAATTGAAAAAAATCACTCAGAGAAAGCACAATATAGTTTTGGTTCTATTTGACTAAAAACAACTAAGTTATATGCGAGTCAAGCAGTACTTATAGACGGCGAACGACGAATTTTGCTTAGCAAAACCGACATTAATAATCTAAACAGTAAACAATTATAACTATACAACTTAAACTCTTAATTGAGTGGCCTGTATACTGAGTATGTACTAAAACTGAAAGTTTAGGCCTATACCGAATAAATAGTGTGTGACGTTCTCTTAAATTCAAAGTTACTCACAAAAAAAAATACATAATGTTTAAAGTTGGGTTACTATATTAGTATACTTTCCATAAACCCAATATTATATATTTAAAATATTTTAATAATAATAATTCATTGAAAATGTATGTCGTTTTAATGTTTCAATTATAAATATTACCTACATTCTAAACATTATTACTAAACCTAAATATTTCATAAATAATCAATACTATGTTAGTAATACAATAGCATTTGAACTAATAACATGTTCTAGTTATTATAGAACCGTCTTCGATCACCTGCGGCATGTTATGTTGTTCGGTATTTAATTTCAATTGATTTTTTAACTAACCTATACAAACTAATTTGGTTCAACTATTTGGCGGGCAAGAAATGTCACCAATAAAATACCCTTAAGGGGCAAACTAAAAATGATAATATCAATAAAATGATTGGATACAACTATACAAGACGTGAAAAATCAAAACAATAAGTAACCGCATGCTCTAATAATGGTGTGTTTAGTTGACTATTTTTTGTGATCATCACTTCTAAGTTCTAACTAACGCCAACACAAATATAGCTTTACATAAGTGTATTACCTACTACTGCAGGTAATCCAGTACTCTGTGATCTAATCGAGGTGGTAAACGATGATCGATTCGTTGAAACAATAAAAGGATCAGTCCTAATCGGTCCAGAGAAAATGTGTTCTATATATTTTTGATATAATCGTGCGTTGACCTCGCACGCCATTCTACGGTATAGGCTTTTTCTTTATAACCGTAACAACAGCTGTGACACTAGCAACCAGGTCGGTATAGCGTGGACAAAAATACACAGGCAGAGGTATATCTTATTCTTTGTAGAGGTAATCGCAACTTAAACCCCAGCACAAAAGAGGGGAAGCGACGATAAACGGGATCGACCGTGTTGGAAATTAATAACGTCGAGATTAAGCTCTAGATAGGAAAACGTGAACAATGATCCAAACAAATATATAAATACACAACTAATAATAAGGACTCGCGTGAACGCCAACACGAAAGAGGCAATAACCCGTTCCCGGCGATGTCAGATGTGGGCTGACGGTCTCATGTCTATTATAATGCATACATTGTATTTACTCGCATAATATTTCCACAATGCGTTGAATGGGAAAAAACCATATGGTTCGGAACTTGGCTACTTCCGTACACACAAAACACGGGGAACCGTTACAAAGGTAATGATAATATTATCCTTGATCGTCGCAAAACGCCTGAATGTAATATACGGATTCGCTTTTTGATGTTTTACTTTTCACGTAGACGGATTTCGATTAGAAAGAAAAAAAATGAAAGTATACTTCACTCGATTTGATGATAATATAATCATATTGTTCTGGATGCAAGTATAGTGTTGTTCCGAAGGAATCCCCCTCCCCTTCCATTCTTAGAGTATTTGCACCGGGGGTGGCTATAGTAGCTGTTTAATGTGACACAAACGGTATGACTAAAGTCAGCCTGCGAGTCACAGGAGGTTAGGTTAGTTTTGGCCTGATTAGATTATGTTAGAATACTATGTTCTTTTCAAAAGGAAATGGTTCCATATTCTAGTTCTTTGTTTAAAAAGGGAGTTCGTTCTCCTCATAGGGTTTTGAAGGATACATTAGGAAATTTGGAAAACAAATATTCGTTTTTACTTTTAACGCAAACACAACGATTCAATCAATATATAAATATATTAACCTTACCTATCATCGGTTATTGCACTAATCAAAAAATGTCAAAAAAATTGTTCTCAGGCAGCTTGTAGTATCTCTTAAGGGTGTTGTTTTCAAAGACATTTACCCTGCAGCGATTTCAAGAGAAATGTTTGACGTTTCCTAATCAATATAATACCTTTGTCTTGTAAACCGAGGTCCGAACTAAAAAAATACACATTTAATTAATTCTTGTTCTTGAGTCATGACTATTTCTGAGCTTGAACTATCAGGGATGATATCTGACTCTTTCAAGTCTATATACCGTGTTGGACCATCTCGTCTTGGTCCTGGCGACTCGGTGAGAACTTCCACGTTCATTTTCTTTACTGATAATATTATAATATAAGGGATTGGTCGGTGGTCGTATTTTGTAACGCTAACCTCCCGGCCCCACCGATGTAGATATACAAGATAGTATTAATATCGAGATTAGGATATCCGCGTGGGCGTTTGTTAATGGATCTATACAATCCGTTCAAACGATTGTACGATAAGAATTTAACACGTGAGTGTGTTGTCATTTCCAATCTTCTAGTCGAAACACCCATGGAAATATCGACTAGTCGATTGATCGGACTCGGGAATGTGTGTGGAAAACTCAATGGCACAACTGTATTGTGATGACGGAGTTTTCATTAAGAGAAGGACGCGGTATGATATTATTATAACGGTCGGCCGAGTTCAACGAAGCGCACAAAGGACTTAATATATATATATATATATATATTATATTATTATTATCATCATCATCATTTTTTATACTTGTGGTACATCTGTACCATAATATTATACCTAAACCGGGCAAAATCAATTCACGGCAATCACGTAGTCGCGCCGGCGATTAATAACCTAACCTGTAACAATAATTGAAATAGGATTTTCCACATAATATTTCTATTTTTGTCGGACCGCGCGGTTACTTTTTTCCTTCCATTTGCACACTTTTATTGTGTTCGCAGAGCGCTCGTCCGACAAAAAAATTCCTTTTCATTAACAATACCCGGACAACAGTAGTGTGTGCGTGTGTGTGTGGAGGTACACATGTTATTATGTATTATAGAGAATGAAATATATCAGACCTTTTGGATTGGCGAATCGCACGTCCGACTATGGTTTTTCGCTCATCTCACGCCGGACACGGTTTTTTTTAATATATTATATTATTATATGTTATGAGCTCAGTCGGTATGGGTACACGACAATACCGTCTTCTGTTCAACGTGTCTCCCCACAATGGGGGTCCTCGGCACGTCCGAATAGTCATCGTGCCGGTGTCATTTAATTTTTTTTATTATTATTAAATGAGTACAATAATAATATGTATGTTGTTGTGTAGCTGATCGCAATGATTTCCGAAATTGGATTGCCCCGTCCGGTACTTACGGTGTTTGTGTGCTTTAATGTGGGCCAACGGACAAAACTCGCGTGTCCACACACAGTATATAATATAATCTATATATATATATATATTATTGATAATATATTATTATTATATTATCGCGACCAAATGGTAATTGCTAATTAATAACGAATACTTTATAGATGTGCGGTGTAGATACATACCGTTATAATGTTATATGGCAGCCGACACGGTTCACAAAATATGGCCCGTTAACGCCCGTCGATTGCCCACGCCAACGATGAGTCGATAATACAATAGCGACAAAATAATAAACGTACTTAGGTATGTGATATTATGACGATTGTTGGGTGGTAGTGTGTTAAAATGTGTCTTTAAATGCGAATGGCGTCGGACGCGCCTCGATAATTGTTATTAACCGGTACGGTGATTGGTTATATTGACTAATTATATTGTTAACAAGTTCAATACCGAATTAAAGCGGACGCAGTTACCATTTTGCTATAACCGGACCGCGAATAACCCATTAAAGTACCCACACACATACGTTTGGTCAAGTACATACACCGAAAGACACTCCGTGTAAGTGTGCTTTGTAACCTAACCAAACTTTCTAAAGTATAATGCTCTTCAAAATTATACAACGCAATGTCTTTCTGAGTAATAATTATCTAAACTATTTACAGACATTGTCAATGCAAATAAAAACATAAGTTGCATTTTTTCAATTAAGATACAAAATCTTATGGGTTGAAACTTATAAATTGATACTTGCATCATTTGACGCTTGATACCTTTTTGCCAACTCTATCACTTTCAAGCAAACTGTTCAAACAAAACAAAAACGGCTAAATTAAGTTGTGTGTTTCTTTTTCTGTCCACAGGTGGTGGTAGTTGGGCTCGTAGTTGCGTGCTCGGCCAGCCCTTCGCTTTACTACGGCAGTCCACAGTTCTACGGCGGTTACTACCAGGCCCCGGCATCCGTCATTAGCCCGATCAAGACCCAGTATCACACACAAAACGAGCTGGGCCAATACTCGTACGGTTACAATGACGGTTACTCGAGCAAGACGGAGACCAAACACGCCAACGGACTGACCGAGGGCTCTTACTCGTACGTGGACCCCAACGGCGTGTTGCAACAGTACAAATACGAATCGGACGAAAACGGTTACCGCGTGTCCGGCACCAACTTGCCGTCGACGGGCAACGTGGCCGCCGCCGTCGTGTCCAACGAAGTGCAGGCCCCGCAACCGGCGCGGGACACGCCGGAAGTGGCCGCCGCCAAGGCCGCTCATCGCGCGGCCTACGAAGAGGCCAAGAAAGCGGCCGAGGCGTCGCCCGAGGAACCGTCGGCCGCCGCGATCGAAGCTACCAACTCGGTGCAGGCCGCCTACGGTTATCCCGCGGTGTACGCGTCGCCGTACGCGTTGGCCGCCGCGCCGTACGCCGCTTACGGTTACGCGCCGGCGGCCGCGCCGTATGCGGCCACCGCGTACGCCGCCGCGCCGTACGTGCAACAGTACTCGGGCGTGTACTCGCCGGTGCACAGCCAGTACCACGCGCAAGACGAATACGGACAGTACTCGTACGGGTACTCGGGCGGCTCGTCGTCCAAGGCCGAGACCAAGACCCTGGACGGCGTCACCCGCGGCGGTTACTCGTACGTGGACGCCAACGGCATCCTCCAACAGTACCAGTACGTGTCGGACCCGGTCAACGGATTCCGCATATCCGGCACCAACCTTCCGTCCAACTCGTTATAAGACGCCAACCGCCACCTCGTAATCTATCACACGCCAAAACTCGCGACGATCAACATAGTCCATCACCATCCACGATTGTAACATATATTGATAACAAAATGATAATGGTATTGTAAGTGTAGCTCGTCGAACCGTGAGGTCTATTTTATACAGGGTGTGACGCGACCGAGGAACGTCGGATCTGTTCGAGAAATAAATATTTAAAAAAAAAAAAAAAATTATTAAAAAAACGAACCGAACCGGTGGACTTTGCGAAGAAACTCGTTTCTCGGTCGCGTCACGCTCGATGTTACTTCTCAACGAAAAGAGGGGGGAACAAAGGTCTAAAAACCTTTTCAAAACTCTGTTAGCCTTAAGGTTATTTAATTTTTTTTTTATACATACGATCCTTCACGTGGACACATATCAATATTATTATTATTATTATTATTATTGTAATTGGTAATGCGAAACATATGTTAATATAAAAATCAACAACAAATAGAAACAACACTACATTATTTTGTAAACTGATCTAGCGTTTTTTTTTTCTGATTTTATAAAAATCCTCTTTTGGTTTAGCTCCGAAGCGAAACTGAAAGAAAAAAAAAGGTAATAGTTATTGGATTATACTTTGAATAGCACTTCGTACACGCTTTATTTATGTACTTATCAAGAGGTTTTTTGGTATTCTAAGCAGGTTTTTTCAGAATGCAAAATGGTGTTTTTTCAACGACGTTATAGTATTACAATAATACTTATGCGTATGAAGTGGCGAGAATCAAAAGGGTGCAAACGACTGTTCGAACATTTGGAAGCAAAATGAAAATTATACTCCCAACTTGTGGTTGATGTTCTTTGGTTTGATACGATAGTGTTAGCGGATAGATTAAAATTAAAACAGATTACTCATCAAGTTAGGTTAGGTTAAGCAGTATATTTCACAGTTATTTTGACAGTAAAAAATGCCCATTTAAGTGACGGTTTGTAATTTCTTGCTGGTGTATCTTTATGTACATAACAAATAATAACAATATAAGCAAACCGGCCCACAAGGTAAACTGTTCCCGCGGTCCGGACACAAAAAAATATAACACACTACTGTACAACCAATCGGTTCCGTATCGAAGCTAATATATTATTATAAATTGTAAACATAGAAATCGAAATTGAAGCGGCAGATCACTACACGTGGAGTATAAATGAAAAACCTATTGGCACACACGATGATAAAAAGAAAAGAAAACACAATTTAAATGTTAAAAAAAAAAACTATTAGGTACTATTGACTAAAATGATTTGTAAAAACTTATTTGTACAGGCATTTACATTGGATAGCGCTCCAGATACATATATTGTTAGGAATAAAATAACTCGTAGCTTTTTGGAAATTGAAACGAAGAACAAATTGATTTTTAAAAGCAATATACATTATAATATTAAGTTGTAATAAAAACACATTATTATTATTATTATATTGTCCGCCATTGTCTTGATATAACTACCGATAGACATTGTATGCAAATATGTCAGAGCAGCGTGAGACTTCCTATACATACATATACACAATTATCTTAGTATACACTCAATATATATATATTATTTATATACCTACTTGATATTAAAATATTTAACTGGTTTTCAAAATGTTGTCGATGCAGCTTCATACAAGAAGCCTTATAAAAAACCCTACTCCGTATGTGGTCCGCAATAATATGTATGTTTTTATTTCTATTATTTATTCTACAATATTATTATCGCGGTGCCGGTAACAACAGTAAACGATAATCACAATAATTATGTTATACAATAGTCCGGTAAAAATTATCTATAAAGCTGCTGTTGAGGACAATAACAAATATTTTGTGTACAAACGAAACACACGGTTTGTAACATAACATAATGTAACGCGAATAAAAAACAAAATGTTAGTTTAAAATATATAAAAAAAAAAATGTAGTCTGTTGGTAAGACTCGAGTCAAGAAGGTACATGTGCACTTGACCCAAAAAAATTAAAGGGTCGGATTAAGTAGTAGACAATATATTATGGGCGCTGCTCTAAAGCCTAGGATTGAATAAAGAACCTACGGCAAAAAAAAATAGTTCATAATTTTTTTTTATAAACGCGCCCTATAATCAGAGGTTTGCAAAAAGTATTGTTTCACGTATGAAAGAAAAGAAATTGAAAATAAAACACAATTCACTCAATAATTAATAACTTATTAATAAAATATTGATTCAGTATATAATTTTTTTATTCAAAATCAATTTATTCCTAATAATTTTCTATACAAATAAAACCTAGTGAAACCTTTACCTATTTTTAGTTTTTTTTTATTAAAAAAAGTGGATTCAATCCAAAGTGTGTGGCATGAGATGGATTTTTAATCGCGTTGTAGTTTTGACTAAACTAAATAAAACTATTTATGTAAACAGTAAAATGTATGCATAGTGTTAGACTTATGTGGAAAAAAAATGGCCAGAGAACACTAAACATTTTGTCAAAATAAGGTAATACTGATAAGCTTCCATAATAAATCACTGTCAACTAGTATCTATAGTGTGCATAGGTTGTTTTCGTGGAAGGAGTTGGATACACCGTCGAGCTAAAAAAGCGGCAATGACAAAAAGGACCGGCAACAAATGCAGCGAATACCTACCTCATAAAAAAAAAAAAATCCTACAAAACACGGTTTCACACAAATCCCCCCCCCCCCTCTAAAAAAATAAATAAGACGTGGACTTATAAATGTAGGTTAATTTGTATGGTGTTTACTTTTTGAAACTTTCGCGTCAAACAAGAATACTGTAGTTATGACATTATAAAGACCATAATATTGTATGTCTAACAAACACTGTTCTGTATAAATAAAAACAATTATTTTTTTAAATGAAACTTATGATGGTAATTTTTTAAAGAGGAAAACACTAATTAATTGTGCGTCGGGTGTTATAGTTTAGGATTTCATCTTTATATATTATATATAAAAAAAACATCCCTTATTTAAAAAGTATTACACTAAAATTATTAAACATAAATATTGTAAATTATTTAAAGCGCACACTGATGTATGATCAAATATGACAGATTTTTGATATTATTTTTTACCAAGCTACTCTGTTGGTAAGGTAATTCGTTGGCATTATGAACTTTTGTTTAGGCTCTTAAATAATTTTGGGCAATTCCGTTTCGTCCCGTCGACTGTATAATAGGTTTTGTTTTGTGTGTGTATGTGTTTTTTTTTTTTGGTCGTTGCTGTTGTTGTTATTATATTTTTGATTATGTTTTCCATCCTTTTATCTGTTTATACTGGCGAGATACACGCGTTTGGGAAACGAGCTAACAACTTTCGGAAAACGTTTCAAAAGCTAAGCATAAGCCGTAATATACTTGGAAATCAGTGTTCAACCTAATCAAACAAAGTTCATAAAGTTAGCGGCGGCAATTTTGTACGTGCGATAGATACAAAAATATTTAATACGTTTTCGGAGTGCGCTGGATTTCTTTATGAAATAAAAAAAAAAAAATACCCTCACAGGACCGTTGTAAAAGCTTCGATTAATTAAAAGTTTACGGATATTATTATTATTATTATTATTATACTTTGTAATGTTATGATTCTCTTAACGCCCTACACTTGTTTACTCTTGAAATAATTTTGTAGCGTTTCCTTTGAAAACATTTTTATTTATGTTTAAGTACAATACTAAAAAAATGTTCAACTTTTTTATCTTTTTTAGTATTTTCCTAGAGCTTTATCAACTTTTAAAACTTAAATGGTTATATATTATAATTAAATATTTAAATTAAAAATATTTTACTGACCATTTTGACTTATGATATTCAATAACTAGTTTAGAATAGTTATTTTTAAAGTTTTTAATTTTAAAATGTAGAACAGCAGTTGGAGTGCGGCTGAGAAATTCACGAAGATAAAATATGACTCCACACTCTACCCTTCCTCCTGCCTTAAAATTAAAAATTTTATTAATTTTTAAATATTTTTTCAAAACTGGTTATTGAATAAATTCAACAAAATATTATTAAAATCCTATCTCTTTTTTTTGAAGCGTCGAATATTCCAATACACCTATATATTTTTTAAAACGACCAAAAGTTGTCCAACTCGTGTAAAGTGTCGTATATCCTAGAGCTAATTTTATTAAATCTAAATATAAGTACTTATGAGGGAAAATATCTACATGTTTTTATTTCTATTAGGTATCTCATCCGATATAATGCATAACAGTTTTTAAATTTAGGTAACACAATGGTAGGCGTGATTTGTGCTGTAAAAACGACTTAATTTTTTTAATTTCTTTAATGGCCCAAATGAACAATTTAATACTTTGTACAAAAATTATTACAAAGTTTTTTCATGATTTATTTTGTTTAATGGGATTGAAAGCGGCCTCTTTTTTCAACATTTTAGACCAAAAAGCCTGGTAAAATGTCGACTACATAGGGTGGTCCGATTTCAATGCTGTAATGATATACCTACCAGTTCTTGCTTTGGCTAGAAAACGGATTTTTGATTTTTTTATGTAAAAATATTGTATTTGAATATTAAAACCAGTCCGCTTCAACACCCTCAAGGGTAAAATTTTACCGGGTTCAAACCCCGGCAGGGGTTTTTTTTTTAAGTTTCACATCGAGTTTATCGAAAAATGTCCTCGTTAATAAATAGGTGGGACCTGACGAGTAGGTAGGTACAACAGATAATATTTTAAACCGTATGAATATCGTATAATAAATTATTTTTTAAAAGCTATAATAAATTTTAAATAAATGACCGACAGCAATGCGGTACCGCCCTCGTCGTTTTTATTTTTTTTTGTCATACTGTTTAGTTGCACACATTGCATTAATATAATATAAATGTATATAGGCACATAAAACGTGGCGCTAACAAGTACATAAATCTCGATTCAATAACCGATTTCAACAACTGCCGAGTCTATTGGTCGTGAAACTGCGATGATAACGGCTAATGGCTACAACGTTATAAATCAGCCGACATCTATATTATCATTATTATTATTATTATTATAATATTGGCAAGCACATTTTAAAAGCTCGGTCGTTATAAAATACTATGTATGGGGCTTATGGAGATGGTCCGTGCACAGTATAATGGCCGTATATCATCATCGCCGTGCGTACTTTAATTTTATTACCACCCCCATCGTCGTTGTATAGCCCATCAATTTATTGTTATTATCATTTTAACACCGGCGACAGTGTTTTATGACAGATTTTTCGTCAAAGCACT